GGGGGGGGGGGGGGGGGGGGGTGGTAAAATATAAATGAAAAAATGGGACCATAAACATAAACATGAAATGACTGAACGAACTCAGATTTTCATCCAGATGGACATTTTCAACGACTTTGAAAAGGTGGAAATCTTCCAATAGACCTCGTCTCAGTGAAAAGTCACAGACATAAAGGGTGCGTTTTATGGACGACAACAGAAGGGTGTGTGTATTCAGACAAGGATTTGCTCATATCGTGCAATCGAGAAAACGAAAGTTATTTTTCTTAATTGTTTTGCTACAGACAATGCTCTGCTCATGCGCAGTTGGTCCCTGTTCTCTGCATTTTCCCCACTCTCGACCCCAGTGCTTACGGGTTTGGGAATGCGCGCGTGATCTCTCTCCTCTACATGCGCAGAAGAGCTCTCAGTCGAGATTGCATTTTCCCAATAAATCATTTAAGCAATTGTTGGTATGTTCACACTATATCCGAGAGAGTGTTTTCACTCACGTGGCCAGCATCTATGCAAATTTATTAGAACAAAAGAACGCGTTTGCGTAAGAAAAGAATGCAACTTCCAAGGGCCCCTTTGGGACACCAACATGGTCTCCGTTTCATTGTTTTGGGACACCAATATGGCCGCCGTGACGTCATGTCAAAACACTCTATAGCTTTTCATGGCGTCACGGAAAGCTATCTGATATAGTATGAACATCCTTCCGATTGTAACTCTCCGTTTTAGAGATCGGCATAGGCGGGCGCAGCTTCACTCCGTCACAGAAATCGCGCCGCCACAACCATTTTTGTGTGTGAACAAAAGTCTTATCCGGTATGGTTTTCGTGGCGGCGGAAAAGCTATACGGTAACGAAGCCTCATTGTCTCAGTGTCTCGTGTATCAGCGGTTATTTGTGTGATAAATCGCAATATTTTGCTCTCCCTCATCCAAAAACTGTTTATTACTGATACATATTTCAGGTGCAACTTGTAAGAGAGAGATGCAGTTGTACTTCTGCGAAAACGATTCACATGTGCTCACTTGCGGTTCTTGGAAGATCAATATCCTTTCTGCAAACTACGGTCGTTTGACTGGAGCTCAAGTCTGTGGTTGGGGACCAATAACGAGCACTAACTGCAAAGCTAATGGAGCACTTGCCAAAGTTCAAGCTCACTGTCAGGGACATTCACATTGCACATTACGGGCAACCAACAGCGAGTTTGGTGATCCTTGCTCTACAACTTACAAATATCTAGAGGTAACTATTTTCCTTAGCCAAGCCTTTTCTTAACCTGATTTCAAGCGGATCTCTTTTCTTCAATTTCACTTTGTTCCCAGGATTCGTATCTTTGGCAACTTCATCGATCTTGAAAAAGAAAAAGAAGTCGTAGCCTGAGTAGCTTGTGTGGAAGAGAGGAGCGAAAAGGGGAAACTACTGACACAAAAACGACAGGGGAGGGGTCTACCTTCCCGCCGCATTTATCTTAATTTGTATTTGCAGTGTGCACCCCTTTTTTTCTTGGCTTTCCCTGCCACTTCAGCCCTTTTTCTATAGTGAATTATTATTAAAGCGATGTTGCCTAATTTCATCCAATTTCTTCCCCTTCTCTCCCTTTGGGAATCCCCACCTCCCAGGTACCCTTCCCTTTCCCACCCCCCGTATCCCTCCCCTGTATTCTCCTCGGGCTCCCCCCGTCCTCCCCCACATCAGTGTGGAACACAAAATTCAAAAATGGAAATGACATGGGTAAATATCTACATCGGACAACGGATTTCTCTAGTTGTACATGTTACTATCCTTTCTCGATTTTGATCCCTTTTGGACTGTTGGAATGGGTACAGTTAATAGCTTGATGGCAGCAAACCTTGTTTTCTTGTGTTGATGACATTAACTCATGTCCGCTGAATTCAACAGATTCGCTACGTATGTGAGTGAGAACGCCAAGACTCTGGTTCAGCTAAAACTGTGGCGTGAGCCGTTAGAAGGGATCGAAAAAGACAACCTTCATTTGTAGCTGTCCAAAGAAAGCGCCACTTGACTATTTAGACGATTTAGCTCATGTAGTTTGCTTGGAAAGAAAACCATTAAACTTTGTTTTAAACGAGAATGATATATATCGATATTTTTCAAACCTTTTTTTAATCTTATAGGATGGCGCCATGTTGTTTTAGACCTCCTTTGCTTCGCGCTTCCCTTCGCTCGAATGAAAAACGCGAAAAAATAACTCCGGTTAGTAAAATCCAACAAGTGGTCTATTATCAAAGCTGCGTTCTGATTGGTTGAGCTACTACTAGGCTATATGTTATAGCCCACTTGCAGCGAAAAGCGCCGGCTTTGAAAACCAAAACAATGGCGACTGAATCACGTTTTGCTAGCTAAAGTTGATTTGTCTCGATATTTTTGACCAACTAGTTGGATTTTACTAAAACAATTATTCCTCTCGCCCACATGGCTCTGAATCAATAGCCCATGAAGCCTTTCGGCCACATGGGCTCTTGACTCAGAGCCCGTTCGGGCTCGAGGAATAATTGTTAATTATACAGGGTATGATGTTTTGCTTTCCTCGCCTGAGTGTCCTGCTGAGCACAAAAAAAAGGGAAAGTAGAGAACAATCTTGCCAGCTTAAGGGAGATGGATAACAGTTTTAAATTATCCTGGTCAAATTTCAGCTCTATTTGCCACAAACAACGTACTAGCTTTGTTCACTAAATAAAAACGTTTTAAACTGAATGGCGGTTTTAAAGTGAAATACTGTTACTTTTAGGCCTAGGCCAAACATCGAACTTTTCACGAGACGAACCAAGCTTAGTGAGTAAGTTCAAGAAAAGTTCCACGTCTGCCGGGCTCGGTTGAGTTCGTCCCAATGAGAGTTTGGATCCTCCAACACATTCTATCCGTCTGCTTCAGTTTTTTGGTCTAATTCAGTAGGTTGGTTCGACGCGTCCTACGTTCGACGTCTGACCCAAGAGACGATCTTAACTTAATTTAGGTCGACTCAAATTAGAGTTCGGTTCGTCTCATGAAAAGTTCGACGTTTGGTCCAGGCCTTAGAATCAACAAATTTGGCAACGTTCACTGAACGTTTACATACACTAGATAAGATTCAGGAGATTTTACCTGATTCATTAATGCTTCCGGTTTTACACAAAATACGAATCCGAGAAAATCCATTTCTTCTAAAGATTCCTCACTCACATTACCAGGCATTCCGCTGGACTATCCCGTATTTGTCTGGTTTTTATGCACTTCATAGTTTTATTTTTAACAACCCCCCAAATCCAATATTTTCCAATTTTTCAAAGTTTTAAATAACACCCATTAATTTTTATACATCAAACTCGAAAATCATCTAAAAACTATGAATCCAAGAACTGAAAACTAATTGGCAATGAATCATTTTTCGATTGAATGAAATATTGGCTGATATTTAAGAAAAAGGGCGGAAATGTGCGAAAAGCAATGCTTTAGACCAGTCCTTAAAGGGTCTTACTAGAAGTTGTCTGTCGTGTTATCGTGACAACACTCTATGCACTCTTGTCCTCGTTGAACTTGCAATTTCTCGTCCCATCTGTGAAAACGCTTGTCACCTAACGCTCTCCCTAAGGTTGATTCACATATTACCCATTCCCAAAGGTAGCTCAAAAGCTCTTCTCGCTTACTAACGAGAAGAAAAGCTTATTTAGCGGAAAAAATAAGAACAAGGGAAGCTTAAAAAAATTAGAGCTGCGATTATGGCTCGCACTGATGTTTAGTACTTCTGGTTAAACACAGTTTTACAACGCCGGGTTAGCTTTCATTTACTACAAACTCCAAAGAGAAGCTAATAGAGAAAATAGTGCAGCGATCATGGTTTGTACTGATGTATAGCGATTACGGTTAAGCACTGATTTCAGATTTAGAATGGTTAGCTCCGTTAATAAAGAAGAGCCGCCTTCTTTAGTCCAAAAAGGCTTTTGAGAGGTGATCAAAGAACTGGTTAATACTGTAGATGCTATTATTTAATGTAGCAGATGAAAATTTTCATGATCGCTTAGCCAATGCTTTTTACTTAACTTATACCAAGTAGTTGCCTTAAGAATATATGGACTATAGTCTTTCGCCCCCTAGTATTTTATCTTTTAAGCCTTAATATTTAGTTTAATAATCGTGGGGGCTTTTACGAGGAAATCTACGTTCAGTTTGTAAACAAATTGTGCCTTTTGCTTCGAACAATAAACATTCGCTCTTTTTTCAGGAACGCTTATGCGTACATGTTTACTTGTAGCCACGGCTTGGCTTATGCTAAATACACCTTTTCAAATATAGGAAGCTCCAACTTACAATTCTAGTGCGATAAAAAAAGATTACATCTGCGAAGATTTTTCCCGTAATCACAAAGTACAATTACACGCTGTGAAGGTGTTCTCTATCGTTTACGAATAAAAGCCAAATTTAATTCGTACTTTTATATGATATGGAATCCGTCAGGAACAATTTAAAAATGATACACTGCTACTGAATAAGTGTGAATTTACTAACGCATTTTGCAAAAAAAGAAAGGAAGAACCAGTTCAGCGCACTTGTATGTGAATAGTTAGCGATCGATAGCCAGCATGAACTGAGAAAGGTTTTCGCCGCTAGTGTTTCTGTTCCACGTGAATTCGACCTAAGGAGCCTACACCCGTCCCAGTGGCCTACGAATAGGATCAAGAATAATTTTTCAATGACTTTATATCAACACTGATATGTCTTGAATTTTATTGTAGATAATAAGTGTTTCAAATTGTAGCTTAGGTGGTAACTGTACCTTTTCAATCTTAGCTGCTGGGCACAGAACCTTATTTAAAAACAGTAACAGAATATAATATACAACACCTTATATATTCCACTGACACCAAAATTACCCTATTTTAGTTGCTGTGTCACTAAATAACGCAATTTAATTAAAATAGCTCATTACTAAAAGTCCCTCTTACGAACGCCTTCTTTAACACTTAAAAATTATGTAAAAAGTTTTTGTTGTCTTTTGTGAATGACTTACAGAAGGCTTTCCTAAGATAATTACCGAACACGTAAGAAGGCGTACAGAAGGCTTGTGTAAGATACTTACCGCTTGTGTAAGAAGGCTTACACAAGTCTTCTGTAAGGACTCTTTATACAAGGCTTGTGTAAGTATTTAACACAAGGCTTGTATAAAGAGTCCTTACAGAAGACTTAAAGGTGCCTACACAAGGCTTGTGTAAAACACTTACACAAACCTTGTATAAAAGTCTTTACGCAAGGCTTGTGTTAGAGTCCTTACAGAAGGCTTGTGTAAGGTTGCTTACACAAGGCTTGTGTAAGATACTTACAGAAGGCTTGTGTAAGAGTCCTTACACAAGGCTTGTGTAAGAGTCCTTACACAAGGCTTGTGTAAGATACTTACAGAAGGCTTGTGTAAGAGTCCTTACACAAGGCTTGTGTAAGATACTTACAGAAGGCTTGTGTAAGAGTCCTTACACAAGGCTTGTGTAAGAGTCCTTACACAAGGCTTGTGTAAGATACTTACAGAGGGCTTGTGTAAGAGTCCTTACACAAGGCTTGTGTAAGAGTCCTTACACAAGGCTTGTGTAAGATACTTACACAAGGCTTATAATAGAATATAATATACCAGACCTTATATATTCCACTGCACCAAAATTACCCTATTTTAGTTGCTGTGTCACTAAATAACGCAACTAAATTAAAATAGTTCATTACTAAAAGTCCTTCTTACGAACGCCTTCTTTAACACTTAACAACATTTTGTTGTCTTTTGTGTATGACTTTCAGAAGGCTTTCGTAAGATACTTACAGAAGTTTCGTGGAGTTAACTTACAGAACGCGTAAGAGTGCTCACACAAGCCTTTTGTAAGATACTTACAGAACGCGTAAGCAGGCTTACAGAATGCTTGTGTAAGACTCTGTATACAACGCTTCTGCAAATATCTAACACAAGGCTTGTATAAGAGTCTTTACACAAGCCGTTTGTAAGATACTTACAGAACTCGTAAGCAGGCTTTCAGAATGCTTGTGTAAGACTCTGTATACAAGGCTTCTGCAAGTATCTAACACAAGGCTTGTATAAGAGTCTTTACACAAGGCTTGTGTGAGATACTTATAGAAGGCTTGTGTAAGAGTCCTTACAGAAGACTTGTGTAAGGTTGCTTACACAAGGCTTGTGTAAGATACTTACAGAAGGCTTGTGTAAGAGTCCTTACACAAGGCTTGTGTAAGATACTTACACAAGGCTTGTGTAAGATACTTACAGAACGCGTAAGAGTGCTTACAGAAGGCTTGTGACAGATACTTACAGAACGCGTAAGAGTCCTAGATACTTTCAGAAAGCTTGTGTAAGAGTCCTTACACAAGGCTTGTGTAAGATACTTACAGAAGGCTTGTGTAAGATGCTTACAGAACGCGTAAGAGTCCTTACAGAGGGCTTGTGTTAGATACTTACAGAAGGCTTGTGTAAGAGTCCTTACACAAGGCTTGTGTAAGATACTTACAGAAGGCTTGTGTAAGAGTCCTTACACAAGGCTTGTGTAAGAGTCCTCACACAAGGCTTGTGTAAGATACTTACACAAGGCTTATGTAAGAGTCCTACAAGGCTTGTGCAAGAGTCCTTACACAAGGCTTGTGTAAGATACTTACAGAAGGTGTAAGGTTGCTTACAGAAGGCTTGTGTAAGAGCCCTTACAGAAGGCTTGTGTAAGAGTCCTTACACAAGGCTTGTGTAAGGGTGCTTACAGAAGGTGTAAAATGGGGTTGACAGGCCTACACGACTCCCCAGCGCGTGTTAAAATAGCCTTTTTATAGTTTGGCTCTCACGAGTATGTCTTTGAGCGACCGCCCTCTTTTATAAGATACGAGGGGCGTTTTTCTGTAGATTTCGCTCAGTAATGGTTGTTGTTCTATTAAATGCCAGTTTTTAATGA